TTTTATTTATTTTTGAAGGAGAGAGAGAGAGACAGAGCACAAGCGGGGAGGAGCAGAGAGAGAGAGGGAGACACAGAATTCGAAGCAGGCTCCAGACTCTGAGCTGTCAGCACTGAGCCCGAAGTGGGGCTCGAACTCACAAACCGTGAGATCGTGACCTGAGCAGAAGCCGGACGCTCAACCGACTGAGCCACCCAGGCGCCCCAGGAGTTTTTATATCACCCTCACTGCCATCATCACGGCACACGCCTCCATGGTCCTCCCTCGGTGCCAGGCACAATTCTAAGTGTTCCCCATTATGGAGAAGGTTCTATTACCCCCACTTGGCAGATAAAGAAACTGAGTCACAGCAAGTCAGAGCTACTCCACCCAGGCCCTTCACTACAGTGCCCCTCTCCACACCTCTCCCTCAGCCGCATGCCCAGCTTTTTTTCAGCCTCTGTCTCCCCTCTTTAGATCCTCCCATCTCTCTGTTTTGGGCTCCTTTTTCTTATGCAAGGGAAGCTGGCTGGGTCAATCTCTTCCAGGCCCACCACTCCCCCACCCGAGGCTTCAGGAATGGGAAGAACCCAGGTTTGTCACTCGATTCTGTACCTTAGGAAGGGAAAGACGTTAGGGGAGTTGTATAAAAATGACATGTTTCTCCGGTCAGTGACGATCCTTAAGTGTTTCTCCTGAACTCTTCAGGCCCTGGGAAAACCTCACTGCGGCCCTGCCCCCGCCAGCACTGGATTTCAGAGCAGCAGCTTCCGCGAGTGCTCCATTCGGTGCCCAGCAGTCAGAAGGTGGCTTGGGAGCCTACGGCTTTGCGAGATCCAGCAGTGCCTTGCGGTTATAGATGGGCCTCCCAGGTGGCCGCTTGGCCATTCCTCAGTAACACCGATGCCGACTGACCTGTTCCACGGCCCAGGCACCAGAGGACAGGGTCACCCCAAGGCAACCCCAAGTCCTCATTGTACAGATGGGAAAACAGAGGCCCAGGGAGGGTAGTGACCAGGCAGTCACTGTGTGGGTAGATGATCGGGATGGGGCCAGAACCCAGGTCTCCTGACTCCCCAGCCAGGGGTCTTCCTAATAAATCCCACGCTCACGCTACCATAGCCGGAGGGAGGGGGAAATCACCTGACTCCATCCCTGGGCCTTTTGCAGCAGGGAGGATTATGAAGATTGTGCCAAGGTCCTGGGGTGAGCCCAGCAGCCTGTGGTGAGGTTCCCAGGGTAGGTCCACGGCAGAGACCCTCCTCCTCCCGCCTGATTTCTGTCACCCACCACCTCTGTGAAGACACTGCTGTCCTCTCCAGGGTATGGCTGACCTACTTCAAGTAAACAGCAATGCTCCTCTCGAATGGACCTGTAGCAATGAACTTCTAAGAAGAATCCTGGGGTAGTGTTCTAGGTCATGCCTTTCTTCAACCATTTTTTGTATATTCATTCATTCATTCATTCATTCAACAAACATTTGACAGTTGCCTGCCATGTGTCATTTGCTGTGTCGGGCTGTGGCTCTGTCCAGAAAGAGAAGGCATAGTCATCACCCTTTGAGGAAGGAAAACTTCATTAGCTAAGCACCTAATATCCACCAGGCCCCAGGCTAAGCTCTAGTGATATGGAGATGAATCACTCATTTCCTCCCCTTGAGAAGTCAACAGTTTCCTGTGTTAGAAAGCTGGCAAAATTCCAGACAAGAGAAAATGAACACAAGGATTTCAGGACAGAGGTTTGCCACAGGATCCATTCATTTAATCAGTCGACAACATTTACTGAGTGCCTGCTGTGGTGCCTAAGGTGGTCTCCTTGCGGTGTCTGGGGTGTGTGTGTGTGTGTGTGTGTGTTAGGTTTAATTTCTGTCCAGCAGAGCCTAGATTTGAACCAGGTCTCTCTTACCCAGAAGCCTGTGCTCTCCAGCCAGTGGTCACGAAAGTCATCAGGGGTAGCACAGCCCGGCCCTCAGCCCCACACCTTTCTCATGTGGGCGGGTAAGCCCCCTCCCCCTTTCCGGAGGGTTTGGCCCCGCCCAGACCCTGGGTCCAGTCCTGGTCCTGGCTGGGGAAGCCAAGAGCCACAGGGTGAGCCCAGGTTCAACGTCCTATGAGCCATGATCTGATCCTGCGGGACTGCTGTGCTCCCAGCAGCTGAGGTCCTGGTCCTGACCCCTGCTGGTCATGCCATGCCAGCTGGAGCAGGGTTTCTCCAGCGGGGGGCAGTTTTGCACCCCAGGGGGGTAGTTGGACATATCTGGAGACATTTGTGATTGTTACAACAATCTGCTTCTGGTCTCCTGCAGCTTCCTACAGCAAAGAATGTCAATTCCGCTGCGGGTGAGAAAACTTGCCCCAGACTAAAGGGACCAGTCCTGCCTTGGGGCTCCCAGTGTGCCTACAGTCCCGCCTGTGGCCCTATGTCGAGGCTGCAGCCTTCCCTCAATCTGGCGCTTTGCCAGCTTTGGGGATCCCGTTCTTCTGAAGGCTGGCCTGTTCTACCTCCACTCAAGACCTTGTTAGGACAAATAATTCATTTATTGAGCATTTACTCTGTGCCTGGCACTATGCAAAGTACTTTATGTATTTTATTGCACTCAGTCCGCCCAACAACCCAGTGAAATAGATACTATTCTTCTTCTACCCATTCTACAGATGAGAAAGCTGTGGCCCAGGAAGAGCTTAAGACCTATGCTCACGGTCCAGAGCTAATGCATGCCTGAGCTGGCCCTCCCACACGGATCTTCCCGGCACCACCGCGGCACGAGCACAGCTTGGTGTAGCCTTGCAGGACCGGGGGGGTCCCTGAAGCTTGCGGAAGGTACACGCGTGGGAAATAAATGGAGCCCCTTCTGTCTTAAGGAGTGGCCAAGGAGGGAAACACGAGTAGCTTCCAAAACCATTACGAGAAATTCATCAGTGACGGGCGTGATGGCCGGTTAAGGGAAACTGAAGGAGCCTCCAGGCAGCCTCTGTCCTTTGAGGATGACATCAAAATGAACAACAAGGCTGTCTCCTTTTACAGCCCCGCGGCAGGAACACGGACTTGACAGAGAGGGCCAAGGCAGATTTCTGGGCAGACGCTCCGGGTGCCGTGCTCTGGGAGTGTGTCTGACAAGTCAAACTTTATGACTGGGAGCATGCTCACTGAGCTCTACCACAACCCAGCTCCCATTTTACAGATGAGGACGCTGAGGCTCAGAGGGGACATAACTTGACTGTGGGTGGTGGCAGGTAAGTGATCCCGACTCCTACTCCAGTGCTATTCCCACAGCAGCCTACTACTGGCAGAGCTTTGAGGCGGAGGAAGGAGGCTTTCCGTCTCTTCCCAAAAGTACACAACCACTCAGACGGGGTTGTGCTGAAGCCAGCTCATCCTACGGCCTTGTGAGAGCCGGCCGTGTGCATCTCTTTCCAACTCTGTTCAGGGACTTCACATTGGCAGCTGGAAATTGGCCATTATGGGAGTATTCACACCACAGAAATTGGCAAAAGCTACAAAGCAGCCCCACCCCCCCACCCCCACCCCAAGAGCCATCTGTTAATCATTTCCCAGCACGGTGCAGCTCAGATCTGTCCCATGATATCTCTTGGCCACAAGACATCCACAGACCTTTCCAGTTGGGGCTGGTGGAGAGTCACAGGTCCTGGGAGGAGTGGGCAGCAGTTAAAATCACACACGCCACATGCTTTACTTCCGCACTCACTGCAGACATTGCTAATCAATCACAGCTAGTCTTTCCCCAATGAGCCTTGACAAGGCTTCGGAATTCTTTCCAACACAACCACTATAAATCAGCAGGAACTGGCATGGGAGATGGAACCTATTAGTCATCTTGGAACTAGAGCCACCTGGGGGCTGAGACACAGGGAGGCAAGTAGGAGAAGCTGAGGGTCCTTTTCTGCCTTTTCAGGTGAGCTGGGTCTAGCCTTGGGGCATAGCCGAGATGGAGGAGGAGAGGCTGGGTTTCCAGGACCCCTACACACGCCGCACACTTGGGGTAGAGAGTAGCATTAACG